GAGAATCAATCCCTAAAGACAAGTATTGATGGGTCGCAAGCATTCCCTAGAGAGTCAAAAGACAAAAACATGGCGGCCATTTTAGTGCCGTTAAMAATKKATGCYAATAAAAACAYTTGTGAAATGGCACCAACATGGCCCGATGATCTTTTAACTATTTACTRCCGTTGCGATTGCTTTTCATTAAATGTATAGAATTTTGCACTTGAAATTCTTCACTCCTATTTTAGCAAATAAAAGCACTTTATGTCTATAACGAGACTTGGATGCAACCACAGCTTACCATAGCATTGACAAGATTGTGAGTCAGTCTGAATGGAACTCTCTCAGGACAGTCAAAGGTCTCTCCCTAAGATACAAATAACAAAATCACCATGACTAMTAGCTCTTTGTAACATACATTTTTATGGATGGCCAGTGTTAACACTACCTAAACAGTTGATCAAAAGTTCTCGATAAATTCGTCATGCTATCCAGCCGATCTGAGAGAAAATGTTAGCCAATCAGAATCAAGAAAATTTGCAAAACTGAGGTGTCACTTTTCCTCTTGAAATTATGGATTTCCAGGCCACCAAATAAGAAAAAAACGTTGCTAATACGCGTTTGATAATAGTGACACAATACTTAATAAGTTATATATTTTTATTACGATGGCGGGCATTTTTTTAAATTTTTCATTGGCCAACTTTCGCAGGCTTCATGACAACTCAGTTTTGCAGTGACGTTATTTCTAAGTCACCATTTCAGATCAACTGGATATCGGTTGAAACTTTAATTTCAAGTTACTTTGTTAGTTTGTAAGAAGTAAAAATAAAATTCCAGAGAGTAAACTGAAATTTAAGGGAGCCATGTGGTCTAGTTTTGGCGCTGTTCATTTCCTAGCACTACGGTCCCCCCAGCTCCAAACCCACGGGTTTATCTCCAAATACTCGTGGGTGAGTGAAAGTAATATTCTTATAAACGAAATATAGGTCATAAGGCTTCCCTAAAAGCAGAGCTGTTTTAAAGTCCTTTAAATACATAGAAAACAGGTAAGCCATTCCATCCAATTCGAGGACTGAACGACCGCTCTGAACCACAGCTAAAACAACAAAACACATAAGCAAGATGGATACCTCGACTACTTGAGCTGATGCCGGCGACTGAATAAAAACTGTCGAYTGCCGTCTTGGCGAAAGAGCTTAGTCGGACGGTTTAAGTGCTTAAGGGTGCACAACAGTGCATTAGTACCCTCGACGAAGTTCAAGAGAAAATGAAGCTAACCCTGAATAAACTGAACAGCATAACTTCTAAAATGAGGTCCAAAACCTTGATTCACTCCCTTTTATAGGAAAGTAACGACCCGTGGGCATTTGGGGTTGTTTCTCGCTGACGTGTCATACCCCAAAAAGCGTGATAACACTCCATACTAATACGTCTATTAGGTGTTTTGCTACAGAAAATGAGTCGATTATCAGGTTTTTCCTTCTTGCTCGTGTTGTTCTCTCTCTTGTACGATGCGTCAGTTTGTCCCTAGGTTCTCTAGTTCTTTTCCCACAACAGTAATCAACATACGAGTCGAATGCTGTGAGATCACTGTCTTAATCGAACGAAGCAGGTGTGCGTGTTTTGGCAGTAGTGGTAGGGGGGGTGGGGAGGATATTTTACTATTAGACCTCTGGCTCCCTTCTTGTCTTTTATAGACTTTATCCCGAAAAAGAACTTTAAAAGCAAGTATTTCTGGGTTACAATCAGCTGATAAAAGYCTTTGARWCTCATTATCTGCTCCAAATGRWGGTCAAACACTGACYRCCATGTGTTGTCAGCCAGAAAGAATTMTWTTRAAAACTTGYRATTTAGCTGATCAAMWTTCKACACGAGACARGAAATGACGTCAGCTAGARMTYMAAGYATGRCGTCATTGTATGAAAACGTAATGAAAAAGTGATGTATTTGTGACCCACTCACCTTGTTAAAGAGGCAGTTRAGGTCCACATGTACACAGTCTCCGTTAGTAGAGTCAAACAGGATGTTCTCCCCGTGTCGGTCCCCCAGTCCAAGGATATACCCCACCATAGACATGACTGCTGTGGTATGACAGTACGATAGGCGGCTCTGATACCTTAAAAACAATGTACCAATATATCTCATTAGCTTGGGCGTAACGTTACCCCATTTAAGACCACTTGTCATTCTCTAGACTATTATTTCTTTGTTTAACAGTTGCGCAAAAGAAGATACTTGAATATGGATACAACTCAAACAAAGAATATTCAGTTATGCCCTGTGGAGGGAATTCGGTCGCAATACAATCCCCCTTAGCCTCCTCCGCAGGCATCTCCCTGGCTCTTTTTGCTCCTTGGGCTTCCTGTAGCAAGGACAAAAAAGACAAAGGGGGAGGGGGAGGGGAGGAAGAAAGAAGAAGAGAAGATGCTACTCTCGCTTTTTCTCTCACTCCCTCGTCCCCACTCCTCCCCTCTTGTTCCTAGTTCTTCTATAAGATTTAACACAGGGATCCCAACATAGAATAAATGGGGTAGCCTGCGAAGAGGCTAAATCCCCCCCACCCCTGCATTTAAAATGAATGGTCGCATACAACATTCAAATGGCGCATTGCATTGAGCTTACCATGACGTGGGGTTGGGAAAGGCCTTCAGGAACCACTCATGGAAGACGGGAGGGTGTCTATAAAGGAGACAGTGTTAATAATATCATCTTACGCTAARAACAACGATCAAACACAAAGATAAATAGATTACCTTGGTAACAGGTCATTCGTAAACACCCTTACTTTGGCACTGGAATGACCAAAAAAGAGACAATGTAAAATTGTTATAACTTTTGAATGGATAGACTACATCAATCGGTACTTACTCGGTGGAGTTGCCCGCTCTCTCCATGATTCTCTTCARCTCCGTCCCTTTAGTGTACATGTTCTTCTCTCTTAGCAAACAAAACGAAAAGCACTCGATCAAAAATCATTTCCAAGATTCTACATTTACGTCCTTGTTTTTACGTTAGTCTGTTTCTTGAAATGTGAAATGTTGTGAAATGGTTTAAAGGATATCCTCATTGGACGGTGTTGTGTGCCGTGCCATTTCATCATCATTCGAAATCTACTCCAAATACGCGACAAAAAAACACACACACACACAGTGGTCACGTGATGGGAGAGAGGGACCTTGAGCTAGCACATGATTTTCTCCAAATTCATCATCGTGTGCCGTGCCATTTCATTATGATCATTCCAAATCTACTCCAAATACGCGACAAAAAAAAAAAAAAAAAAAAAAAAAAAAAAACAAAAAAAAAAAAAAAAAAAAAAAAAAAAAATGGTCACGTGCTGGGGCAGAGGGACCTTGGGCTCAGTAGCACATCATTTTCTCCTAATTCATTATCCTTTGGTTCACACGTTATTTCTTATTCCCCACGTCGTTTAGTCTACCTACTTGTATATCTTAGTCAGTATGTTCCTCAGTCCCTGGGTATTTTGYACCCATTCGATGAGTCCACACTCTTCGTTCAAAGGTATTACCGCCTGTATAAAAAAAGTATTCAACATCGCAAGATTTGTATCCATGTAACTAAATAGTATTATATCTTTTTAATGCAGTGCGCAATAGTCCCTTTGCCAAAATTTCGGTCCTATACCCCCAGACATACAAAAGTTTGTAAATTCTTGTCAATTTTGAACTAATTTTTTTCTCGGCCGAAATAAAACCTGACATAATGAATCTTGCGTAGGGTTACTGAAGTAAAGGTGCTCTTTCTTGTGCTGGTATTGGTTTTCAATTTTAATTCATTTCAATTTTCGGCCGCCATTTTGGTAAAGGGTCTATTTGACGTAAAGTGACGTGAAAATACGCGAGTGACGTGAAGTGACGTAAAATTCAATGTAGGGAAGTGAAAGGTAAGTGTGTGAAAAAAAGTAAAGTAAACAAACGTTTCCGCCAAGAACTTACGTATGTTCGTATGTGCAGTTGTCGTCTTCTCGACTCGGGATCTTTCCTGAGACACTACAAAACAAGAAGGCGATAATATCAGAGACAAACGATCTTCAGAAACACGCATACTACAATATACTCCAAAATAAACAACAACAACAACAACAAACTAACAGCAAAAGCAACAACTCCAACAACATCAGCAACAGTAACAACAACAACAGCCAACAGCAGCAACAACAAAAGCAAGTTAGTTATTTCCACTAACAGTAGCTACGATCAAGATCAAGAAAATTGACTCTTGACCTGGAGAATTATCGATTCTGATTGATGTATGTTGTTCTTACTTTGTTGATGAGCGCATTGAACTCCATAGTCCTGCTGTCCTTTCTCAGATCGTCCTGAATAACAATATCCACAGGGTAACACATTCTTTATCAGATAATCGGCTACATAATGGACCTTTCTAGAGTTCACTAGAGTATCCACGAATAAATGTTCCCAAGTCAATGTTGAACTCGATAAAATGCAGCAAATGAATGAAGATATCATGTWAAACGTCGACTTGAAGCCATTGCTTCGTGTTCAATCAAGCGAATTCGGTAAGGGTCTATTAGCTTCATATGTTAATATAATGTATTTTTTCAATGAATAGATCAATGAGTAGATATAAGAGATAGCAGTAATGGGGAGGGGGAGGGGAGTAGTGGGGGAGGGTGGGGGTAAGGGATTCTAGGGTGGTCCATATAGATAGTATACATCTATAATTGTACCTTAGGTTTACACATCATGATGTACGACTTGCCATCGCTGCCTTTGATGGTGATCTTCTTGGGTCGCTGAAGAGAGGCCAGCACTTCGACCTGGTATCAAACAGTTAATCAACGATCTGGCTTGATCAAGTGCTTAATATTCTCTGTATAACGAATTTAACTACCCTTCTTCTTATACACTCAAACTTCACATCATACTACCCCTACAGCACACATACTAACCCCTCCCCCCTGCATAACAAGCCCCTCCCCCACCCGCCTAACGGTCACTTGCCCCTCTCATCTACAGTTATACAACCTACCTTTTGTCAGTACTTACTGAACCGTCGCCCCAAAACACGTCACGATAACGTATCAATACTTACTGTATCATCAAAACCAGTAATACAGGCCAGAGTATCCGGGAAGGGTTTATGGTCTAGATGGCTACCAGCCCCTGATGGTAATGTCACGGTCATGGCTGACTGTAGAGGGACTAGGATGGGACTAAAGTTGCTATGGAAACAAAAGGGTAAAATCAAACAAGAATCGAAATAAAGCTTTTAAGCTGTGACGTTTTTCCGGGTTCAACTCGGCTCACAAAAACGCTAAAAAAATGTTGAATCAATGATTTAATTTCCACCTTGGAAAAAAAAAACTGTTATGAAGAAAAAGTAAGAAAAATCTTTATAGAACTCATTTCGTTTTGGACCCGGAAGACGTTTTTCTACACGATTGACGTCGAACTCAAAGGTTCTACTTGCTGCTAGCACGGACAACAGGCTCTGTCCTTACCTGTCATTGATGAGTCTCTTGAGGACAGTGAAGTCCTGACTCATGTTCATCTTGTTATCTTTGACGAGATTCTTATTGAATTCTTTGTTGCAGACTTCCAATAATCGATCGGCCAATCGGGTAGCATCCTGCAAGAAAGAGATCAATGGCATCCATGACTGGCTATAGTATAGTATAATAGGCATCTTTATTTCATGAATAACCTCATTTACGTGAGATGTAGAAACTGCAGCGGGTCTCTCCCGTTTTCTACCGGTTCTCCAGTTTTCCTCCCTTCGCAAAACCTAAAAAAACTGATCAGCCCAGAGGTTGTTTCAGGTTTCTATCTGTGAGTTAGCCGTGCCCTGAATATTACCCCAGAGGTTCGATAAAATTTGAATGCCTTTGAACAGGGTTCGTGCTGAGGTAACCACTTATAATTCAAGGACTATTCAAGTAGCATACAAGGACCCAAAAATGAATTTTCAAGGAGTATGTTCAGCTAACTATGCCAAGGTTTTACACGGTGGTTGCACATGGCCGACTTTCATATTTTCCAATCTTTCTGACTAGATCTATTTCAGAACCATGCAAATAATGATCAAAGCAAAATTCAAGGAGTTTTCAAGGAGTTTCGCTAAAATCTTAAAATTCAAGAGTTTTCCAAGTGCCCTTGAAAACGTGAATTAAATTCAAGGAGTTTTCAAGAAGTTTAAGGAGTAGCATGAACTCTGTTTAAAGGTAAAACTAATGCCGTACTAATCGGGAATACCAGTGACAAGAAATTTACTTACATCAATGAACTTTGCGAGGCTAGACATCTGTTTCCTACAAGAGCAATTGATATATACGAGATGCGTGAAAATTTGATAGTTCAGTATGTACCCAAGCTAGACCATAATGCACCTTGTTCGCTATCTGTGGCGCGAAGCAATGGCGTAAAAATGTAAATATCCTTACTTGGCTTTTTGGAAGATGTCATGACACCTCTTCACCCTTGTCGCAAACGAAGACTAAAAACAAAAGTATGAAAACAGAAGTGAAATTACTAGAGCAATCCAGATCTCCAGCCAATAGAATCACAAGAGGTCAAACAATCAAAACCATAACTGCTGGGCTGATATCGCGTTTTGATTGGTTGGGAGCCTGTGCTTCATAACTACACACAGCACGCGCGCGCCATTTTTAAATTTCTTTATTACAAAAATTTTAAAGGAATTTTGAAGGTGCGAGTTAAGTTTCAATGTCTGATAATTTAGCGAAGCACAGATTTTGCGTATAGAAAGTCATCAAATATGGCTGCGATAGCTTGTTATAATTYTCAATCCTGTTGAAAGTAGCGTTGAGTTCTTGGGTTCCCTGTGTCAGTTCCATACCTTGGATACTGCCATCATCATCCACATGGCTTGTTGAGGGTAAGTGACCAACAGCTTGGCTAAGATTTCCTATACAATAATACCAAAGGACAGAGTTTAAAAAGGGCAGACAGAAAGACAGACAGACAGATTTTATATTTGGTATTTTGAGTGGTTTTGAGAGATCGAATTTAGTAGGATCTGGCCAAGGGCAGGGTCTCTCTTCGAGTTCTGTTCCGTACTACTCATCCTTTAAACCTGGTTTTAACTTGCGGTGGAATCAGTTCTAACTTGAGTCGGAAAGCAGTTCATAAGCGCATTCACAAGCCAAAAAAAGAAGACCTCGGCCGATCCTTCTGATTCCAATTCCTACACCGTTTTCTTCTTCTTACTTCGTCATAACCTGATTTCGAATCCGTTTAGGACTTTAATTCCGTTGCAAGTACAAACCAGGCTTCAGGAATATTATACAATAAAGAACGATTGAGACCTTCCAGTAGCATCAACGTGGGMAAAGATTACAAACGGATAACGAAGGTGATAACGTTTACCTGTAGCTGTTCAACGACCTTCTGGTTTGGATGGCAAATCCTTGAGATGAGAAGCGAGAATGCCGTCAAGAACTGATAGGCAGGCAGTTTGACGGTTAATTCAGCCATGGTCTGAAAAAAAAAATTGGAAAATATGAATAACAAATACTTTATTCCATCCCATTAGTATGACTAACAAAATGAATTTTAATATCAAAATAATTTTTTWMWAATTTATATTTTTTTAATYGTAAATAMTATAATGGTTAAACACACTATAGGACGGGACTTACTTTATTCACTTCTGTCAATTTTTGTCGCTTTCCACCCCTGTCTGCCTTGCTTCCTCTGCCTGTCATAAATAATGATAACAACAGTAATGTTAGGCATTAATATTTGCATCAAAAACTAAAGAAGCTAAAAAGAAAAGGATTTGAACCTCATTTCRATATTGGCGCCATGATATGCACA